AGTCCAAACTTCATAAAATAACTTTACTCTTACTACAATGTTAATTCAAGTCTGTGTAAAAAGTTTATAGAAAAACTTGATTAATTAAAGTTAGAAAAAAACAAGTACTTTTTCCAACTTACTATTATGTTTGTTTGCAAAAGTCTTCTGGCTGATATTTAAAATGGTATTCAACAAAAAAGTATAATAAACATCTTAATTTTATACTAAATTTTTTCAGCATTCCTTTTTTATTTCTTCATAATCTAAACGGTAAGTGTAAACTTTAAGATGCTACTCACCTTACTAGCCTGTGTAGTCTGAATAAAGATGGAGTTTTCATGATAAAGATGACAGAACCAACAATAAGGAAAATAGCCTCTAGCAAGTATAAATTTCTAATCAATTCTCCAAAGAAGAGTCCTTTGTTTTCCTGAAAGCAGCATCTCTCTATGGGTTTTCTCTTTATACAGAATCAGTGAATCTCAAAATTGGAAGCAACCTCAGCAGTTATCTAAGATACACTCTAACAGGAGAATTCCTTCTTATAATAACCCTGACAAATGTTCTTCAGCCTCTGCCTTTAGACTTTGGTGAAAGGAAACCCTACTAACTTCCAAAGGCAACCTATATTCCATTTTGGGAAGCTCTAGTTCTATAAATTTTTTCTTAAATTAAGTCCAAATTCTCACATTTACATATGTATACAGATTAAAGACCTATCTTTTATTTATACACACACATATATGTATCTATTATATTGTATACCTTTAGACTCCAGTAGTGATTTTCATGATGAGTTTCTACTTAAAATTTCAATTTTAATACAATTTTTACAGTCTCAGCTAATTGCTGAGCTCATGATCACTTAGAGAAAATAGAAATGATGATATACATTTTTGATTTACAAATCAATGAATATCTTTCAGAGTGCGCACAGCTACAATACACTTAAAAGAAGACAAAAAGTAGGAACAAAACTTCATAAATGACAAAAAAAAAAAAATTGGTCCTAAACTTCCTAGGTTTTTAAATGGCTTTTACTTCACTTTTAACCTAAAAAGTAAATGTTACCTACATTCATGAATGAATTCAATTTTGAACAACCTCTAAAGCAGGGCTTCTTAAACTTTTTCCAATCGAGAGACCCCTTCAGTGCTTATCAAAAGAACTTTTCAACTTGACCTTTACTCTAAACAATACCTATCAATTCAATGGGACACAATTCAAATTTTTACTTTTCTATTTAAGGCTCTGAATAGATAATGATTCTGACAATTTACTTTATTTCAATATGTGCTTTATTTAATAAATATATTATGGATACTTACTCCTATATTTAAGGCAATAAAATCCCAAAGATTCCAATCTGGAGTTAAGGGGAAAGAACACTTGGGGGTGGAGCCAGGGTGTTTCCCTCAACAACTCATTTTATCTTTCTGAGCATCAGTTCCCTCCCTCATCACTAAAATGGTGATAATATTTCTATTTCCTACCTCACAAGATTTTTTAAATGCTCCAATGAGATACTGCAAATGTGGCCAAGCTAAAAACATTAGCAAGTTTTATTCTGCAGAGATCTTCAACAAAGTCTATTTCAAGAATGGTAGATTTCTAGATTTCCTATTTATTTACAAACCATTTGGAGAAAAGGCAAAAAGTTGTCTAACAAATGCTGTATAAACTCAGTATTTTATATCTAAGTAGCATGCCCTAATAAATATTTAGATTTTACATAGTAACTTGGGACTCAAAGTATTAAACACAGATACACAGGATAAGAGTTTCATCCTATCCCATGGAATAAAGAAAAAAGTACTGAGCATGTTACCTGATCAGCATAAACATGTGGTCATTTTTACTCTTCACCCATAGGGGTGTAATGGGTGCATAAAAGATTCTTTTGTTGCTCAATGGAAGACCCAGGTCCTCTGGAGACTCTTCCTCTAACAGATATACGAACAAAGCAGATGAAAAAACATAAGTTCTTCCTCCTACTGGGCAGGTCACAAGTGATGTGTGTTGGGTACCTTTTTAAAGCTCACCTCACTTCTAATTGCAGCTCTACCATGAAGAGTTATAACCCTCTCAGGTTATAACCTTTACTCATCAGGGCATCACAAAACAGTCTCTTTTGCTCTTCTCTAATATGCTAATCATGAATTAATGTGTCTCATTGTCTTGCTTGAGCTCCATGAGGGTAGGGACCATGTATTAACTAAACTTTTTTTTTAATCACCTCTCCCCCAGCATCTGGCACAATGCCCTGAAGAAAAACTATAGGCACCTAAAATCTTGGTTCAATTTAATATGTAGAAATTCAATCTCAAAACTATGGACCTATCTAGACATCATCACCAACATCCTTAGGTACAGGGTAATTGGGCCCTTTAGCCTGAGAAAGAGAATGAGGACTTGTACCATCCCCCTTCCATGGAAGCCAGAAGTATTCCCAAAATAAAATCTAAGCTTTGAGTCACATTAAAGATTCTAGAAAAATCCCTAAACCATTTCTCTTAAAGAACTAGGATCAAAAGGTTTTGAAACTGTCCTAGAATAAACTGCAATAGGATAAAAAGTATCATCTGTCAAGTGTATTCTGCATGAAGCCCACAAGTAATGTCTCTTCCATTTCATATAGGAATATTAGGGAAGGGGCATATACAGAATATTCTCTGTTTTAAAAAAAAAAAAGAAAAAAAAAGGACATTCTGGAGCACTCCACTTCTACCAACAGAACACAAAATAAGTGTACTCTAAAAATTAAAATTTTAGGGATACTTCAACCAAAGAAATGCTGTTGAAACACTTCCCTCAAATTCTGTCCAAATGGCACCAAAAGTTATCACACTACACTTGCATAGCACTTTACAATTTCATAATGTAATTAAGACATCTATTTCATTTGATCCTCACAACAACCCTGTGAGGTAGGTGGGGTGGATAAGTTTTAGTATTTTATTTTACCTGTAAGTCAGAGTAGTCACTTGCCTAATGTTCACAAAACTAATAAAATGATAGATAAAGAAATTGAATCCTTAGACAACAAAGTGCTTCTTAATAAGATCTCTCCCACTGAAACTCCAAAATATGGCCAGGAATGGCTAGGAAAAACACACTGAGGTGTTTTTATCTCTTCTATTCTTATCTACAATATGAAAGTTAAAGGAACTTTTTTTGGAACTTTTTTTTTCCCATGACAAGCAAGAGACTACTCTCAAGTTTTCAGGAAAAATCAAAGAATCAGTTCAGTAAACAAAGGTATGTTATAGCTAGTTCTCTCTGTCTATCTCTCTCCTCCCTCTCACTCCCCTAAAGACTTTGGAGTACTAAATATGCATCCAAGCACTTCCAATTAAAAGAGTATAAATTCTTAGCAAGGTGGATTATCTATAAGCCCAAGGCAGTACGTGCTCCTGACACTCCCCACAACCTAACTTCTGCAAAACCATGCCTTCTTAAATATTATCTGCCCCACCTTGATTTCACACGTTCATTAAACATTTGTTAAGTACCTACTAAGTGCAAGACACCGATATCAAAGGAGATACACAATTAAGACTCATTTCCTAAATCCTGGAGCCAAAATCTCACTCCCGACCTCCACCCCAACCCACCTCTAAAAGACACAGAAAGCAAAATACCTGGGATAGTAAAATCCTGGTGCAGTTCTGGATAGGACTGCACCTGTGATTTCACTAATGTAAGGAACTCCAGGATGAATCAACTCCCTCTACTAATGTGCACAAGCACCTCCTCTGTAACTTATAGTTTTAGAGTTGCGCAGAGCACTGAGGAGTTATATGTCTTTCGGACAGTCACTCAGCAAGTATGTGTCAGAGGCTTAATTCGAACTCAGGTCGGCCTGGCTCCAAGGCCAGTTCCCTTATCTATTATCCTAAAATGTCTCTTTTTATCCTATTCTGGAAGACCCCTTAATTAGCACAGTATAGAGGGGAAAAAGTTCTCTGTAGCCTATAAGCACTGTTTCTCCTTACAGGATCTTCTCATACAAAAGCACAGGGACATGCATAAAAAGTTATACATGGATACATGTACGTATATGTATACCAATAAAAGAAAGGGATGGAATAGCTGATTGCAAGATATTACAAATTAAGAATGGTACCACGGGCAAACTCATGTGCTACAGAATCATGAGAAGCGAGGGACTCTTGGGTATCCCGTTTTCCCTAGGGTCCAAAGGGAAACCGTATCTGGGTCTCACTCTTTGGGCAGGAAATACTCCCAGCACAAGGATCTGAAAAACCCTAATTCTCTTTATGCTAAAACGGTGCCCTAGGGTGCCAGATGTTCCTCAGGCTTTCTAAAGACCACGGGCGCTATCATCCCAAAAGAGAGAACAATGCACCAGCACAACTTTTCCTTTCAATCTTCATTGTGGACTCTCAACAGGACAGGAAATATTTTTCAGGGCACTTTCGGGTGTTCTTTAGAATGCCCACTTCCCACACATACCAAGACGATACATTATCTAAAAGCCTCTTAAATCCAAAGGCAAGAGAACTCATATGGCAAGCATCCAACTCAAGTTTGGAGAGGCGGGGAAAGGGGCCTTACTCCTTCTCCCCTCCGAAAAATAAAAAGTGGTGCAGGTGCTCAGCGGCAGTCCCCGATTCTACTCAGTCCCAAGGACAGGGACACTCTGACCGACGCCCGCTCCCCCTTCAAGCCCGGAGGTGGGTGGGGGAGGGGCCATCAGGAACCCCTCACTCCCCTGAGGGGCCGGAAGACGAAGGGCCTCAGACTGTCTCCTCTTTCCCGGTGTTCAGAGGGCGTGGGTTAGCCTGGGGAGCCCGTCCTCCCGGTCCCCAGGCTGTAAGATGGGGCCGAATGCGCAGTAGGCCCCGGGCCGCCGCCATGGGCCCCACTGGCTGTCAGGAGACAGCTCAGCCGAGAGAAAGAGAGGCAAAGCGAACTGACTCCCCTATTCGACCGAGGAGGAGCAGCACCCCAGGGGATGATGGAGGGGGTCCGGGAGGCGGAGAGAGGAGACGTACCTCCGAGACCTCATCTTCATCACTGCCGGAACCGCCGCCGCCGCCGCCGCCGCCACCGCCACCCCCGGTCCGGAGCACGGCGGCTGCCAGCTTGAAATCCAGCGCCGCGTCCCCTCCGCCCGCGCTGCCACCGCCACCTCCACCTCCACTACTGCCACCGACACCGCCGCCACCACCGCTACCACCGCCACCCGGCGCGGGCCCGGCCTCCCCGAAGAGTCGCACGGTGCGGAGCCCCAGCCCGACCCCTCCCGGTGGAGGTGGCTCCGAGGCCCCGGCCGGGGCCGAGCGCGGAGTCACAGAGTCCAGGTCCTCCTCGAAGGAGCCGCCGCCGCCGCTCCCGCCGCCGCCGTCTGTCAGCATAGTTCGCACGCGGAGCCGGAGCAGCAGCCGAGTAGCCCGCGGCCGCTGCTGCCGCCGCCGCCGCCGCCGGTCCCCGGAGCGAGAGGAACTGCAGGAGGAAGAAGCTTCTCCTTCCCCCAGTCCCAGCAGCGCCACTAACTTCCCACAACCTAACCTGCTGCCTCCCACCCCCCCACTCGCCACTGGCTGCAGAGCTCCGGCGGCCGCCGTTTATTGGCCGCGGCCGCCCGTCGTTCAGTCCCTTCGTCACGCGCTGCTCGCTGGCTCGAGGCCACCAAGCTGCGTTGAGCAGCGCAGGCCGAGGCGGTTACGAGCGTCCACCCTCTACTCCGCGCGCGCTAACTTCCGGTCTTTCTCTGTTCTTATTGGTTAACTCCCTTGCCCATCTCTTCACAACCTTAATGTGGATTAGCCGGCCGTGTCGTCAGTCCTGTTAACCCCTCACAATGAGGGATTTCATTGGCGCGATAAAGTGTCGGTCATTTGGTCACGGGACGTCGCGTGGCACAATTGGCCGGTTAGTGTGGCAGTCGTCCCGCCCCCCATCTGAGGTGACGGGAAGGGACTGGGGAATCCCCAATCCCGATTTTAGTGCTGGGGAGAATGACGCCCAGGGATAGGTGAGGTTTGAAGTAGCATTCACTCTCCAGTTGGTTGGGCTTCCGTGGCACCGGCCCAAAGAACCAGAGAGGGAGGGGGAAGAAGAGGGCAACGCAGTTCCTAGGCGCCGCTCTCAGATAGGCGCGGAAACTATGGCCGATCAGAGAAAGTACACCCTGTGATTGGAGGGAGTGCTGTCAGTCAACGAAAGGCTCCGCCCCTCCTGTCGAGCTGTGATTGGAGGAACTGACCGTCAGTCAGTAAAAGCGAGCTCCACCTCTTGGGCAGGTGAGGCTGCGCTTCCCTTCGAACCCCACCCTCCCGCGTTCTCCGCGGCTTGCTCCGGCTTCTCCTCCACGATATAGAAGGCGGAGAGTTGCCAAGGGGAGGGAGAAACGTTCGGGAGCTGTGGAAGCCTCGGGCTTCTTGGGGTCTGGCCCCGCCCCCGCCCTGTGGTGAGGCTCTTGTCTTGGGGCGCGCGGAGCACACTCGGGTAACCGCTCCGAAGAGTTTCCGCGGGAGGCCTTCCAGCCCCAGCCTCGGTGACTACGCCCAGGTCTGGGCGCGGGCAGCTGCGAACCGGAGGGTCGGTGCATGCCCCTCCCCCCCGCCCCGAGTGGCCGCCGCGGCCTCGGGGGCCCCCTCCCCTCCCCCCCCCCCCCCCCACGCGCAGGGTGTCGAAATAGGCCGGGCCCGAGGGGTCTGCGGGGAGCCCCCGGCCAGTGAGCGCAGCGTCAGCGGCGCAGCCAAGCACGGGACGCGAGGGCCCGAGGACCTCGCCCGGCCCAGGGCACAGGGCCCAGTTCGGCCACAGGCGTGTCCGTTGTCACAGAAAGCAGCCTGAGTGGAGACTGCTTTAAGGCTCCTCCGGAGAAAGTTGTATGTGCTCTTGGCACGACTGGGATGAAATTTGGAAGGGACTTCATTGGACAGCTACGGGAACTGTGCCTCGATAAATAGATCTGCTGGTTCGAGGTCACACGGTTAGGTAGTGGCCGAGCTAGGGACAAAATCCAGGCCTTAAGATTACCAGGTCCAGTGCTTTTTCCATTCCACCTGCCAGGCCTCTGCCCTCTGTTAGCCAGAGCAGGAGAGCAACCTGGGAGAAGCTTCAGTTGCCACGTGGCCTTTGACCCAGAAAATGTCAACATGATAATGAGTTGGCTAAAGATTAAAGATTTGACACTGCTTACTGTCTTGCATCCTTAGTAAAACTTAATTTCTGTACAGCTTGATTGTGCAGTATTTATTGTTTCATCTGTTTTGAATTAGCGACTGAAAAATACCTTTGCAAATGGAATCTGGTAAAATCCAGTTTCTGCAAAAATATTAGGAAACTTCTGATGATTGGCAGTGTATCCATGACATGATAATTTATTTCCCTTTATGTGAAACATTCAAATGACCCTAAAGCATATTAGATAAGCTTGGTATTTTCAGCTACTCAAAGGAGTTTATACTTAATGGAAAGGAATTCTTCTGTAAATACTAGGCAAGAATATTAAGTTAAAGATAGTTTACTATGACTTCATCTAGCAACCTATGAAACTTAATTATTTCAGATCCTCACTTAGAATCTTGAAGTCATATGGGTCTAGTTTATGACCCAAACTAATAACAAAAGAAGCACAACACTACCCAACCCACTTCAAAGCTAGATGATTCAGATTCAGCATCCTGCAACAAAAATAGGTGCTGCCAGGCAAAACATTATAGGGAGGAGAGGGGTCTTTTTGCCATACAAGTTAACTCAAAACATACTTTTGAACTATCTAAAAACCTTGTATTTTTTCATTTATTCAAATAAGCGCTCTGAATCTCAGAGACCTGAGGAAAAAAATAAATTATCTCCTTGATGTCAGTAAGGTCACAAAAGTGTAACTACCCAGTGATCAACAGGACACTTGCCTCGATGGTTTTACAGATGGAGTGGCAGTTGAAAACTTCAAACCCACTCTTGTACTTGCTGATATGTAAAATGAATATTAAACATTATTTAATATTTTCAGTATATAATAATAGCTCTCACATGGTGCTTTAAGGTTCATAGTCCTTTACACACCTCATCACATTTGATTCTCAAAACATGTCTTTTGAGTTAGGTGCTGTTATCGTGTTTTATGTTGAAATCTGAAGCCAGGACTTTCTTACTCCAAGTCCAATGTTCTATCCACTACACAAAACAGTTTTACAGATGAGGAAACTTGTGGTAGAGGGAGGGAGTGTAGTTCTGAAGAGGTGCTGGATTGGAAGTCAAGAGGACTGGAGTTTAAATCCCAGCTCTGCTACTTCCTAGCTATGTGACCTTCAGCAAGTCATTTAACCTTTCTGGACCTCAGTTTCCTTATCTGTAAAGTGAAGGATTGAACTAGATGGTCTTTAAGCACCATGGTAGTAGTTCTCTCCTTATTTTGTGATCACCTCACCCAATTACAATTGATGAGTGTTGCACATTCAAGATAAAGTTATAAAAATCATAGGAATATGACCTCAGTTTCCACATCTGTAAAAGAATTAGACTCATACTGATGTGACTATACTATAAAATATATTAATAAACTAATGAAAAAGATAAAACTTTGATTAGAAAGTACTGAATAAATTTGGAAGAACACAAAACCCTTTTAGAGAATGTGTTTTGGTTAAAATGAGCATGAAGACAACAATTACATAAAATAAGGATCACAATAATTATTTGAGTATCCATGAGCTGATCTGTAGAACTTTGACTCTAGTTTGACCATCATTTCATTTCGACAAACGTGTATAGCTCTGTTCTGGCCCTGGAGAAGGAGGTACAAAGTCTTAAGTAAGACACGGGCTTTGCCTCTATAGAGCTCAGGGTTTAGTAGATAGTTAAGACACATATATATAATAAGTACAATAGAGAAAGGCAAAACAGTGCTATGTAAAGCCAAGAAGAGCAGAGGAAAGACACAGAAAGGGAAATTCTGTAACCCCAGAATTTCATTTAAAAATGCTAACATGGTAAACAGCTTTCTCACCAGTAATGAATATTAGCTTGATAAGCCACAGCAGTGTTACATACTCATGAAAGTGAAGTTATCAATCCACATTTTATTGACATGCAATCCAAAGCTTTTCAGGACATCTAATTTCAACATATAAGTCTTATGCTTGATATACTTAAGGGTATACAATAAGCATATTTGTTTATTTGATAAGACTGATATAGGTACAGATTGTTTCATCTGTTAGACTATAAGCTGTTTGAGGACAGGGACTTCGTTTTTTGTTTACTTTGTATCTAAAATACCTAGAATGGTGCCTGGCACATAGTGTTTAGTAAAGGCTCGTTGCTCAGTCATTGGATGGGTTGATTAATAAGTGCAAATGTGGCTCCAGAGTCACATAACTGAGCCAGATAATCCAGGTAACAGTAGCATTTCATTACAGTCTTAGTGTACCAGAGGATGAGATGCTCCAGTATGGATTTTAAAAGAGTTAAAATACCCTTTACCTTCTCTGCTCAACTTCTCAACAAACTCAATTTATAATTAAGGAATAGTTTAATCAGTTATTTAGAAAAAGAATAGGAAGTCATCCACGGAGGGACAGAGAGCCATATATTTTGCCAAGAGCAAGACCTGAATCCCACCAAACAGCATTGCCTGTGTCACCCTGCTACATATGTTTTAATTTCTCTACTTTCATCCAGCAATATGCAATACTAGTGAATCCTGACAAAGTCTTGAGCATGGTAAAGAATAACCCTTTTTTTTTTGTCTTGACAAAAAACTTGATGCCACTTCAAGAGGCTACTGAATTTGGTGTCCTGCCTGTCTTTTTTGCAAGTAAAAAAAAAAAAATGAGTGGCAATACGGTACAGAATCTAAATCTGCCACCACATTGTTCATTTGATTTATTCTTTGACGGGTCTGGTGGAAGGTGGTGGGTAATGAGGAAAGGGAATCCAGAGTGAGACTTACACAGAGGACAGTCAGTCATTTGTGCTCATACCTTTTGCACTTTTCCAGAGAGAGGGCCAAAGTTTTCAGAAACTATCTAGTAATCTGGAATCTTAGGAATTTACTCGGGTTGCTTTTTAGAGATTGTTCAGCACGGAAAGTAGCTCTTATACCTTAAATATGTTTCTTAAATCTACATGCAATTGTGACACAGCTCAAGCAAATTACACCCTTAAAACAAGCTTTAATTCTATATAATTTTAATCCATTAACAAGTATTTATTGAGCAGCTGGTATGTGAGAGGCCTGTGCTGGACTCTGAGGGACATCTGAAGGTGAATAAGACGTGGTGCCTACCCTAAGCATAGTTGGGGATATGCAATGTGTGCACAAAGCAGAAAGCAGTAAATGTGTGAGGCAGTATGGGATAAAAGTAAAGTTTACTGGTTTTGAATTGAGAAGACCTGGGTT